AAAAAAAAAAAAGAATAAAAAGTGAGTTCGCGGGGAAGTACGGATTAGGCTCCACTTATTCCGAGCCATTCGTGGATTGGGATAATGAGCCCGGGAAACCGGTTTTAGGAAACTCGTGGAAACCCCTCGAGGTTAAACCTAGAATCATCTCGTCCGGAAACCTCGTTTGGAAAAAGAAGCTCACGAAATGAGTTCGTGAGAGTCGAAAGGATTAGGCTTCTCTTGGATCGGTTAATCTTCTAGATAGATCGGGTCAACGAGCACGGGAAACCGGCCTAGGCGACTCGAGGACAAACCCCGAGGTTAAACCTAGGTAATAATCGTCCAAACGACTCTCATTTGGAAAAAGTGGCTCATTAAAAAATAATATATATATATATATATATATATAAAAGAGAAGAAAATTGGGGAGTTGTCCTATTGATCTCGTGCTTATTATTTCATGTTTTGTAGATCATTTATGGTTTTTGCACGTATATGTGAAGGAGGGGGTTTAACTCGAGCGATCATTTGTGGAATGACTTGGGACGGGTTTTTGTTTCGTTTAATTCATTATGTGGGAACCGTGTCTCGGATTGGATATTGATTTTGGGATAACCGAATGATAATGAGAGTTTCATTTTGCATGTTCGTTAATTTTGGCCCGATCGATATATCTCTTCGAGCTATTTGTTATTTTGTTTGCTTGAGGACAAGCAAAAAGCTAAGTGTGGGGGAGTTGTTTGTTATGTTTTTGTGCGTATTTTTATGTGTTTATTTGCGTGTTCGAGTCGATTTTAGGTTCGTTTTAGCGTTGTCCGGTCCATTTTGTCGTTTTCCGTGTGTTTTTGTGTTTTTCGTTTCACTATATATTTTGGCGTACTGTTCCGTGCTCTTGGTACATTTTCAGGTTTATTCCGAGAATGAATGAAGGGAGTCGAGCCAATTTCCCGAGAATTTCGAGAATTTTCGAGCCATTCGTGCAAACTATTTTCGGTCGAGTATGCCGAGTCCTAGCCACGCCCAAGCGAGCCATGCCCCGCGACCGCGCGCGCTTGCACACACCCATGCCCTGGACATCCACACTCGCGTGCCCGCGCTGAGACCCGCGACCTCGCGGACGCACAGCAGCCACACG